TAATAATAATAATAATAATAATAATAATAATAATAATAATAATAATAATAATAATAATAATAATAATAATAATAATAATAATAATAATAATAATAATAATAATAATAATAATAATAATAATAATAATAATAATAATAATAATAATAATAATAATAATAATCAATAATAATGATATTTAATAATTACAATATATTTAACAATAATAATATTTAATAATAATGACAATAATAATAATACATGCATGTAAACGTAGTGATCAGATTTGATTAAAAAAAAAAAAGTAATAAGTGAAAGTCTTACTGAGATCGGTAGAACGTTGAAGTATCATCATAAGAGCAGCTGGCACTGAAAGGCATTCCTGTTTCGGTATAAGAATAAATGGGATGAAACAGGTGCTTATCAGATGTACAAGCTTTTTATCAAGTTCAGCTGGTAAAATACCAAGTTGAGAAGCTAGCAGGAATGGTAATTGTTCGAGAACATCACGTTGTAGGAAGAAGTACAAAGCCTTGATTGTATCAAGGATTGCATCACCGATAGCTTAAATTTGTTTTTTATAACAAAAATGAAAATTTATCAATATATTTCAATGTTTACAAATAATCGTTTCTTCTTTTGCTTTTTTTTTGTAAGATTTACGGGGAAAAATTCCTTTCAATTTTAATTTATTAATTTTATCATATAAACAAGGATTACCAAGATGTGAAGCTGAAATTTGCTGAAAAACATCCAATAAATTGATTATTCCATAGTAAAGTCCTGAATAATTCAAATTTGGATACAACGTTACTCGATTCAATGTGGGACAGTAACGCTCAAATGCACCTATCGGTACTGGTGGCATTTCTTTCAGAAATCTATAATATGATTATTCATAATATAATAGAAATCTACAACATGCGCTTTTACTTTGATTGGTACGAAATTCAACTTTTCCAAGGATGTTAAAGTGAAATTGCAAAGTTTAAAATGTTATATGTTGCAATCTTCTCCAATTATTTCCTAATTTAATTCTTCTTCTTCCACTTCTTCCTCCGTTTTTTTTCCTTTTTCTTGAAAAAAATCGTCTAATTCAAATTTGAGTTCATATTCAGCATTTCAACTGCTCAAATTTTCGAAATTTTTAGCACGCGAAACTTTCACAGATACTTAGGAATACTAATCATGAAAGGATGGAAAAGACTACCATCATAGCTTATCCGTTTCTCCACTAGGCCTTCCGGAAATAATAAATGCAACCGGATAGAATGAACTGTCACGAAAGAAAATTTTAAATAAACCTCCAATCATTGCATGTAATACATAAAATAATTTATTGCAATGATATAAAAATTTAAGCAGCACTTCACTATCTTCCGCTGTTAATTTTTGCTCTGTCTACACCTGAATTTTTAAACTTTCAAGAAAAGGTTAAATTTTATTTAGGCAAGTTTGAATAAACGTTACTGTAAATTATTCCATACGGAAGGATCAAAATGTGTTCAACTGTTTTGGATTCTTTTTTTTTTTGAAATGCTAAAGACGATTAGTGCTAAAGACGAATTGGAGAATTGAAGGAACTATGACCTTCAAACTTTAACTCCGATATTATTCCCGTTTCATCATTATTCATCATTTTTCACACTAATAACTAGCAATAATAATTAATTTCTTTTTCCAAAATAATTCGCAAAGTTTTTTCTAGAAATTTGAAATTAAATAAAATTTTTAAGTTGCGACATATAAGTACACATGCAGAAACCAAAATAAATTTATGAAAAATTTTTAAATCAAAGCTTTTCGAAGAGATTTTGTCGCGAATTTTGATTCGCGAGACTCCAACCATACAAATATATAATCAAATAAATTTCCTATTGTAAATCATCTA